GTCCAGACTGCTCTCCGCCCGAGACTGAGGATGCTCATCCCGCGGCGGCGATGCAGTCCTCGTCGTCGTCCGGCGACCTTATCGCGGCAATACGGGCCATCGAGGCCGATTCGTTGCTGAGCGAGAAGCAGAAGGCCAAGCGAAGGCAGGAGCTCCTGAGTGGAGGCGCGAAGCCTGTGGATGCCGATCCCGAGAAGAAGAGCAATGGTGGAAACAACGAGGTTCTCAATCTTCTCGACGGGAGCTTGAACTGCTCCATCTGTATGCAACTTCCCGATAGACCTGTCACGGTGAGATTCGCTATCCGATTATCATTCCTGCTCGTTCTCTGATTATAATTGAGTGCATTTATAGGTATTCATTTGAAGAAGATGTAATTAAAATATATTCTACGAGCATTCAATTACAATCCAGATGACTAATTTAATATGACTTTGTTCTTAAATCTATACCACACGGGTTGGATTTGGCATATTGATGAACATAATGGGAGTGGACTCGATGTTGGATTTTTGTTACTTAAAATGGGGAAATGAAATTGGGATTCTCTATACTCTTGTTTTGTCTGTATTTACTCCAGTATGTATTCATATTACCCATTCACAATTATTGCCATTACTATGATTATGAATTTGCATAAAGAGAGAAAACTAAAATGTGCCGTCTCTATTCCTTAAAAAAGCTGATGCTTAGTATTTCACTGAAATTCACACATGCACTTGTCATTTACTTCAGTCAGTTTGTGATTTTTGGTATTATTGGTTGTGTAGAAAAGATTAAAAGCTTTTTCTTTCAATAATCGATACTCTTTTGAGTATTTTGACTGACTACATGAGCATGTTTCAGACACCATGTGGTCACAACTTTTGCCTGAAGTGCTTTGAGAAGTGGGTTGGTCAGAGGAAGCTTACATGTGCGAATTGCCGTGCATCTATTCCTCCAAAGATGGCAAGTCAACCTCGGATCAATTCTGCACTTGTTATGGCAATCAGAATGTCTAAGTTATCAAACCAAGATGCTTCTGAAAGGGCATCCAAAGTGTCTCCTTTTATTCACAATCAAAACAGACCAGATACAGCATTTACTACAGATCGGGCTAAAAAGGCTGGTAAGGCTAATGCTGCAAGTGGGAAGATTTTTGTCACTATACCTCAAGACCATTTTGGTCCAATTCTACCAGAGCATGATCCAGAGCGAAAGATGGGTGTATTGGTTGGAGAAAGTTGGGGAGATAGGTTGGAGTGCAGACAATGGGGGGCTCACTTTGTACATGTAGCTGGAATTGCTGGTCAAGGAGATCATGGAGCTCAATCGGTGGCACTCTCTGGTGGCTATGTAGATGATGAGGACCATGGAGAATGGTTCCTCTATACAGGAAGGTATTCTCTTGGCAGATATTGCTGCCCTTGATTTCCCTCTTTTGATCAATAAGGTATCGTCTTTTAATGATCAAATCAAATACCAATACTTCTGATATTCCTGTCTTGGCTGGCGGCGTGTAGTGGTGGAAGAGACCTAAGTGGGAATAAAAGGACAAACAATAAGCAAGCGTTTGATCAGAAATTTGAGAGAGGAAATGAAGCTTTACGAGTCAGCTGCCGCAAAGGATATCCTGTTCGTGTAGTGAGGTTAGAATTTCCTGTACTATGTTCTATACTTTATTTTTAAAAAAACACTGTGTAAGATACTTCCCACCAGGGATCATGAAGGATCTTTAGTTTGAAAGAAGGCAACCTTTATATAACATACTAATGAAGTTAGGGGCTGTTTGTTTCAGCCTCTTAATGGTTCAGATGTCTGAATGGTTCAGCACTTAATGGTTCAGACTGTTTGTTTCAGCCTCTTAATGGTTCAGATGTCTGAATGGTTAAGTATTATACAGAGTCTGAATGGTTAAGACCTCTTATCTGAATTGATCAGACATTTGCCTCTGAATAGTTAAGCAATATACTAGCTCTTAATGGTTCAGACCTCTTACTGGTTCAGCACTTAATGGTTTAGACCTCTTACTGGTTCAGCACTTACCTATTCAGAAACTGCCAAACAGCCCCTTAATCCAGTTTTTGAATTACTATAGACAACTATGTGCTTTGTCTCAACTCATGTTCAGAATTATCAAAAGAGGTTAAAGAGGCTATTGATCTAAAAATGTCATCTTTAAAAGGTACAATCTCCCACACAAAAGAGGGCAGATCATGCTTTAGAGTTAAAATACTTAAAAATTGTAGCAAATTCTCAATATGTGGGAATAAGGAGATATATTGTGAAACTGTTTGTTTTCCTTGTATTATGTCATTTTTTATATCTAGGTCGTTCAAAGAGAAGCGTTCTTCATATGCTCCAGAGAAAGGAGTTCGTTATGATGGAATTTACAGAATAGAGAAGTGTTGGCGCAAAGTTGGAATTCAGGTAGAGGACTTCTCCGAAAAGTTTTAAGTTTATTCCTGGAGGACAGATCATGCTTTAGAGTGGTATCAATGTCTCTCTCTTTTTTGTTGTTTTTGTTGTAGGGATTTAAGGTTTGTCGGTATCTTTTTGTACGCTGTGACAATGAACCTGCTCCATGGACAAGGTTTATTAAAATTCTCATTTTTCTGTCTTTGATATAACTTTTTCTCCATGAAATCCACTTCTTTATACAAGCACTTATTCTCTTTATCTCTTCAGTGATGACATTGGGGACCGCCCTAGGCCCTTACCTGATGTTAAGGAGCTAAAAAATGGAGCTGTTGATATAACTGAAAGAAAGGGAGCTCCAGCCTGGGATTATGATGTGAGATGCTATACTCTATTTAGTCTCATAATCCACTGATGGTTATATCTTTTTTCCCCTATGGTAAATCTAAATGGAGCATCTGATATGGATACTGATTCTGACATAAGAATTAGAAAGTTATTGCTCCGTATAATTTTTTTTTGAATTCTGGTGAAATTGATCTTGGCAAGGGGTATAGTCCATTTCCATGCCTTACATCATAAAAAACCACACTGCAATTTTTTTGTGGCCTAGTTGTAAACATGTCTTGTTGATGATGTTATGCAGGAGGAAAAAGGTTGCTGGCTTTGGAAAACACCTCCTCCCGCAAGCAGAATAGTCAACTGTGAATACGATGAAGATGGAAATGTCGTGAAAAAGTCTAAGCGCACAGCAAAGAAACCATCTGTGAAAGAAAGGCTCCTAAAGGGTACATCTTTTAATTTGCACTATTACCACTGCATGTCCCGGTTGTACTAATATGGACGTACTACATACATGATGCAGAGTTCAGTTGCATTCTTTGCCGCAAAGTGATGGTTGATCCTCTCACTACTCCGTGCGCCCATAACTTCTGCAAGGCGTGTTTGGAAGGCGCCTTTTCAGGGCAGTCTTTCATGAAACAGAGGACTTGTGGAGGAAGAAGAACATTGCGGACACAGAAGAATGTCATGGGATGCCCTTCTTGCAAAAATGATATATCTGACTTTCTCCAAAACCCACAGGCATGTCTAACTCTAATTTTCAAACCACCCCACACCCAAAGGCCAAAAAAGTCCGATCTAATAAAAACATTCGGTTGCCTCCGTGCAGGTGAATAGGGAGTTGATGGCGCTAATTGAATCCCTTCAGCGCAAAGTTGACGAGGAGAAGATGGAAGAGACGGGCACAATTGAGGAGGAAAAGACCGAAGAGATGAGCGAAGACGGTAACTCTACTTCGGGTGGTGTGGATGAGGAGATGAGCGAGGAAACCGATGTCCCAAAAGATAAAGATGGTGTTATGAAGGAGGATAGCGCGAAGGACGAGACCAAAGCCCACAAAGTTGAGAGCCTTACAAATGAACCTAAACAGCCTTTGAAGAGGAAAAGAGCCACCAAGGGCTGATAAAAACTACAAGGAAAAAGAAGGGCATTGACCCTTAAGAAATGACCCCCCCTCCCCACCCACCCCCACCCACCACTCAGATTCCCATCCTCCCAATAGGATGACGACTTAGAAATTTTGATGAACTAACAGTCTAAGTTGACTTTGATGCTGTATGCAGTAGTTAACTACGTCTTTTTAACCCATTCATGTATTGCTGTTATCTGTCTGGGCTTCAGATTTTAAGGATTATGTTTTTTGTTTCTTCAAACATTGGCCATTTGGTGAAGTTTATGGTTCAATGGAATATTCGCTCTTCTAAATTTCCCAATTCTTAGGTTACCTTCATTTGATTACCCAAAAAAAAGAAGAAAAAACTTATCCAATTTATTGCTCAATTGTACTCAGTAGTTTGCACTTGCAATGACATAACTAGTGTAATTTCGTAGGAAATAATACTGAAAAATTAATCAATATAACAATGAGGACTAATAAATTTAGAGAGTTTATTAGTTTCTTAAAAAGCAAAACTCTGTATTCGTTGTTTGATCATTAACTTCCCTTATTTGACTAGATTAATTGACATGGGGTTGCCATTCCATCACCTACTATTAGAAATTACGGAGTACATTATAGTACTCTCTAGATAAATCACAACTATTAGAAATAATCAAATGCCTGTTTTTTACCGTAATAAAATGTACTGTTCCGTATGTTTTTATCATCTAAATGATTCTAATTCGATTGGAATAAGTTTTGATATGATTTCATTTGAATGTAGTTATATTTAAAATTATTTCTGATCTAGTCTGATCTGATTCTTGTAAGAAAAAGTAACAAGTAACAAGAATAATTTTTTAAAAATATGACCTAAGTTATCATACTCAACTTATGCGTTACAGTTCTTTTATTAGGGAGAACTAAAAAAAAAATCGATGTGATAAAAAGGTTATTTCTATGATTCAAAGTAGACTTTTGTACAAAAATAAGACTTTTTGGGTGCAAACTAACTTTAGTTACTTGTCTCTTAAAGGGAGTTTTTTTTTGCCAACTCATATCCTAAATTTAACTTCTTATTTCGTGTTGTACAGAATTTAAAAAAAGTGAAATTGTGAGATTTTACAAAGTAGAGAAATAAAGTGAACCACTCATTACTTTAAATGGAATGAACAGTTTATTTTGGTCCAAATAAAAAAGAAAGAGAAGTTCACTTTGGGACAGAGAGTATTATACCAAATATTATGTTCCATCTATTAAATTCCTTTAGGTACAAATAAATGTAACAATGGATGATTGGTTTATCTATAAGTCATTAGGTTGAGTAATGCCAAGATAAGAAGGCATGATACATACATTACTGTCCTAAAATGATCAAGGCAATGCTACTCCGAGGTTTCATGCTGCCTCTGCAACCCAAGTTTCTCAACCACTGCTGCTTTCTCTTCTTCTGGTAGAGCATAGAATGTGAACACAGATTTGTCTCCTATATCATCCTGCAAACTCAAGAAAATATATCATCATGGAGAATGAACTCAATTCTCATTTTGTTGTGAAAATACCCGTTGTGGCTAAGGATCTACCTTTATCGGTTGCGTGAATTTTCTTCCTGCGAACAGCACAAAAAGTCCCGCCCAAACGCCCAATAGGGTAATTTTTGCACTGTCATCCATCAATCCAGTCTGCATGGACACATACGTAAGAGCATCGCCATTTGAGAAATATATGCTTCTTTTCATCCACAAACAATTAGCCCTAGAAACCCTAATACTCAACTTTTACCATCATATCTCCTATATTGTTCAATCCCTGAGATGAACGATGGAGATCTATATGTAGCATGGAAGAATTATGCCCAGTAGGGAGTCTTAAGACATTGAATCTCAACCTGAAAGAATGATTTCATAAGAGTAGTCTAAGGCTTTATACGTCGATCTGAGTTTTCAATATTTGCCCAATTTATAACTGCTTTGGTAATTTAAATTCTCATCTTTTTTATTGATGAAGTGACCCTCAACTCACCGAGAATCTTTTGTAAATGAACTCCTCTACTCTTCACCAACTAACTCTCTATTATCTACGAAAAGAGAGGGCATTAAAAAACACTACTGAATTGTGTATTTGTGTGGTTGCAAAGTAGTAATACCAGGTGCCCTAAAAGAACCGATGGGATGATGAAAGTGAGAATTCCAGCTTCCAACTTTCCATAGCAAAGGCCTGTTTGGGCGAAGGTTAGTTAGCTGTTACTTTGGCTAACCTTAGACACCACAAATATATCAAAAGCATTTGGTTATGGTTAAGAATTAAGATCTCTCACCTTCCTTGAAGACAAGCCCTGTCAGCGCGGCAAAGACCAGGCCAACAAACCAGACAGCCGTCGGATTTTCAGTAACATATTGTACTAAATTGCACCCAGCAGGTTGAGCAAGCACATAATATGTCCCCAATGATCCAAAGACACCTAACATCCAAAGTGCTTGGAGTGTGCGTTTGATTTGTGTTACATAGATGTGAATTAGATAGAGAGATAGCCCCAATCCTCCAACTCCAAGCATGTAAAAGACATCCAGGTTTCTCCTAATGAAGTCCCTTAACAACAAATCTCCCGGAAGCAAAACTGCGGACGATGCAAGAACAAATGACATAGAAGCCGTTACTAATCCCGATCGATATAGAATGACCTGTACACGTTACCATTACCTTCAGAACAGTTTGAGCAGAAACCACTTTATACAGAGAACACGACAAAGATTAGGGCTAGCTGAAAGATGAACATTAACTGAAACCTAAAAAACTGGTAACTGAATGCTGTGATGTAAACGTCTAAAAGCTATTTAGATATAACTGGTAACTGAATGCTGGTTTAAAATCAGATATCAGATATGAATAAGAAATGTGCTTATTCATCAATGGAGAACCGTTGGGATAACGAATTGGCAGCTGAGTGCAGCAGCCACTCTGCCTGTCTATGGCTAGCGGGGAAACTCAATCTAAGCTACAAAACCTAAAGTTTATGAATTCAATTTGCTTTTCCAAATCCACTAATTTACTATTCATGAACAATTCAATTCGCGAGCAGAGTGATTGAGATGGGATTACACCTCAAATGCATCCAATTATAGAGAACAATACTCAGCAGTTAGTTCATAATTGAGAAGAAGAAGGGGCGGCGGTAATACCTCCTGGACGTCGGAGTCTTCGACGGTCCACGGACCATAAAAGCCTTGATAAACTACTGTTGAATCTGAAGGAGGCGATGAACTGTCTCCGACGGCCTGATATTTTACATTTCTCCTCGGTATGCTCAGGGACAGAATTGAAGTAGTCGAAGAAACCGAAATCGAACCAGAATGAGTAGATATGCGATGGGAGAGAGCGCCCTTTTCGGTTATTGAAGAAAGCAAACAAGGTCTTCTTCTTCTTCTTCTTTCTCTTCCACTAAACGGTGACAGATACGGCGGAGGACGATGATTACAGGCGGTGGTTGAGATTGAAGGCCAAAGCAGCGCCGTAGTGATAATATGCATCCTTCAGCTAAGCCTATCTCAGTTGGCTCTAACATCAGATCAAAGAAACCCAACCGAGTTAGAGCAACAATTGGAGAACGTACTTGGTACATGGGAAAAAATGGAAAAAAACAAGTCTAAGGGGCTGTTTGCTTCAGCCTCTTAATGATTCAGATGTCTGAATGATTCAGCACTTAATGGTTCAGACTGTTTGTTTCAGCCTCTTAATGGTTCAGATGTCTGAATGGTTAAGAGATTTGCCTCTGAATGGTTAAGTATTATACAGAGTCTGAATGGTTAAGAGCTCTTATCTGAATTGATCAGACATTTGCCTCTAAATAGTTAAACAATATACTAGCTCTTAATGGTTCAGACCTCTTACTGGTTCAGCATTTAATGGTTCAGACCTCTTACTGATTCAGCACTTACCCATTCAGAAGTTACCAAACAGCCCCTAAGGTTCTCTTTAGTTGGGGAAATTATTTTTTAAAAAATACGGTAATATTTTCTAATGAAAAATGATTTATAAGGACAATTATTTTTCATTCATTTTCTGTTATTTGGTAGGAAAGAAAATATATTCTTCAAAAAATATTTTCTTTTATTAATTAAATTCTACAACACAAGAAAAGAATTTGAAATGCACAATTTGAATTCTACAAAAAATGAAAATTTAATATTTAGTACTTAAAATTTATAATTTATAATTAAAAACTAAACACTAAAAATTAAAAATTAAAAACTTAAAAATTAAAAATTATACAAATCAAATATTAAAATTCAAAAACTAAAATTACACCTTAAATTATGAAATTTAAAACTGAAAAGTCAAAGATATTTTAGCATATTACATTAAACCTCGTGGCAAGTCAAACCATCAAGTTTTTAAGATGAATCGATGACAAAATTGTTTGTATCGGCAAAAAAGAATAATGTTGAATTAATCAGTTGGAAACAAAAAAAATCGATACAAGTGGATGGGGCGGGGTGAGTGTGGAGGCAAGGAGGACAATGGTACAAGAAGTTTGAGTATGTGATGATCCAGTAGGAATATAATAAGACTACTTTTGATTATTGTGCTTTTGTGCAAAGTCTGATAATGACTTCATTATTTTGTTGCTTTATGTTGATGATATGCTTATTGTTGGTCAAAACTCCACCAGAATTGCTGAGTTGAAAACAGATCTTAGTAACTCCTTTGTGATGAAGGACTTGGGACCAACAAAACAAATTCTTGGCATATATGCAGATTGCACGTGATAGAGGCAAGAAAGTTGTGATTATGTCAAGAGAAGTACATAGAAATAGTGGTTCAACGATTTAACATGGAGAAAGCTAAAGTGGTTAGTACACCTCTTGCTACATACTTTAAGCTTAGCTCGAGACAGTCCCCACTTAATAATGTTGAGAAGGCAGAGATGCGACATATTCTTTATGCTTTCTGCAGTAGAAAGTTTGATATATGCGATGGTTTTTACAAGGCCAGATTTAGCTCATGCAATTGGTACAGTTAGTCGCTTTCTTTCCAATCTTGGTGAAGAATATTAGAATGCACTGAAGTGGATTATGAGATATCTCCGTGGCACATCCAGTTTGAAACTTTGTTTTAGAATTTGAAAATATATTTGGAATGTTTACACATATTCAGATATGGCTGGAGATATAAATACCAGGAACTCTACATCTGGTTATTTGGTTGCTTTTGCAAGGGAGCTGTTCCATGACAATCTAAGCTTCAAAATTGTGTTGCATTGTCCACAACAGAGGCTGGGTTTATTGCAGCATAGCTACAAAAAATTGTAAAGAGCTGCTTTGGATGAAAAAAATATCTTCATGAACTTGGCTTTATGAAAAAGAGCAATGTCTTATACTGTGACAATCAGAGTGCTATACATCTTAGCAAAAATCCTACTTTCCATGACAAATCTAAACATATTGATCTATGTTATCATTGGATTCCGAGATGTGCTTGATCTCAAGTTATTGGAGTTTGAAAAGATTCACACATATGATAATGGTTCTGATATGATGACAAAGTTTTTGCTTAAGGGGAAGTTTGAAATTTGTTGTTTGATTGCCGGTTTAGGCGTTTAGAAACTACCTTCACATAGTCGGAAGGGGGGGATTTGTTGGGTTTGGGCTCCCAACTATGTGTCCATTATTTAAATTTGAAGGCCCAATTTAGGAGAATAATCCTCAAGCCACTTTTTTAGTCCACTTATGAGGCTAAAAATTAGTAGTCATCCATAGAGTACCGCTGATTTTACATACGCACGAAATAGGGAGATGAGAGGGAAGCCACTGGTTTGTTGCAGAAATCACAGGTTTGGTTTTTTCTATCAATCGGAGATCCAAATCTTGTTTGACCGAGCTGAAATTTTAGGAGTTAAAGGACTCATAAAGCTTCAATTGAAACGGTGGAGATCGAATTCTAAGGACTCAATCTTGATTTACGAGCTTCATGGTTCAATCTAAAAGATTTTGTGTTTGAACCCTCATGGCGCATATTTTTGAAGAAAAACAAAAAATTGTTCCGACCGATTTAACTGTCCGATTCTAATCGATTCTGACTAGTTTGAGGTTGGTGTGCAAGTAGCAATATTTTTTGGTAATGTTAAAGGACGTGGCAAACCAACTTGCTTCGTTTGCTAGAAATAAACAAAAAGATTAATTAGGACCAAATAGATCAACTCGAATAAATCGAGATTGGAACATGAAATACCAAAGTGGTCCTAGCGATCGGTCCATTCAGATATCAATAATCTCATTTGGTCATCTAAGTTGGGTGAACGACTAGATCGGTCTCGAATAGTTGAATCAGTAGTTTTTTTGGGAAAAAGACTAGATCTAGACTGGTTTTTAGTACATTGTAAGTTTTTTTCGAACGGGGTATAATGTTACCAATTTGGGAGGAAGATTACAAAGGTGATGAATTCAAATGGGTTTTGTCAATGACAAAAAATGCAACTACCAAATTCATTTGCACAACTTGTACAACCGTACATCCGTAATCTCGAATATCGCACGACTTTTATATTAAAGATGTCAACAAAATCACGAATTCCACCTCAATTATGATCAATAAACATTCATAGCATGCAAAATTACACAATAAGCTAGTTTAGTCCATTCTCATTTGGGTTGTTGGGATCATCAAAACCCATGCCGTAATTTTGATAATCCGAACCGGGGAAACTCTCGTACTCTGACATATATTGAAAATTCTCATGTTGTTGATATTGCTGTTGTTGTTGTGACGGCGTCAGAAGTGACGCTACCCCTACTGGGGGAGGAGGAAGGAATGCTGTCGGCTCCCAAGGTTGTTGCAAACTTATGCTGGTCGTCTGATTGTAAAGATCTGAAGTCAAGTAAGGGAACTCTGCGTCCGAGCTAGAAAGAAGTCGAGCGTACTCTTGGAGAAAAGGGTAAGCCGCCTCATCTTGAGGCGTTGACGACTTGCCACCAACCTGATGGGTGGTGGCAGAAGAGGAAGTTCCGCCTCTTCTGCCACCAGTACTGACAAAGCGGATTCCTGTTTTGCCTTGAACTCTTTGTGGGAAATTGAGCTTGGCTTTCGACCCTTTGAATTTCAGAGCGGCTTGGTCGTATGCAAGTGCGGCGCCCTCGGCGGTTTCGAATGTTCCAAGCCACACACGAGCCGCCTTCTTCGGATCCCTTATTTCGGCCGCCCATTTGCCCCATGGTCTCTGCCTTACCCCTCTATAATGGGGTCTCACATTTTCTTCATCAATGAAAAAGAAACAATATATAATGAGTAAATTTCATAAAAGGTACCCACTTATAGGTCGTTTTATATATTTAGTTCCTACATATCAAATATTACTAATTTAGTCCCCAATTATTATATTCATTTCCACGAATGGTCCTTTGTTAACATTTCCGTTAAGAACGTGGATAAAATTGTAAATTCACACTCCTTTCTCTCCTCAATTAAGTTTCCTCCCTCCCCTCGCACACCTTTACCAAAACCAAACTTTACTCTGAAATGTAATAAATAAATAAAGAAGAAGAAGAAGGAGAACTTAGATATAGAACGACGAATAATGACAACAAATTTGACCTTATTAGCAACCGGAATACCGAAACGTTAACTTAGCTTAAATAATTAGGTAAATATGTTATCATTGATTGTAATTATTGTAAGCTTAAGAAAGGTTTTATACTCTTCTTCATGCGCGGGCAAAATTTGTGTTTGTCGGTTTGCCCGATCCTTGCACGTGAATATTAATTTTTATTATTATAAAATTGGATGGTAGTGATTAGTGAGGTTTAAACCCACCCGTGACCTCTTGATCAACAAATAAAACTTTGATATTATATCAAAGAATCAAGTCAACAAAAAATTCAAACTGATGATTTGATAATAAAAATTAAGCAATGTATCATGTCAGAAGTAAAACCTAGATAAAATACCAGAATAAAAATTTCATGGTTTTAACCTCGGACTAATGTGTGTGGTAATTCAGTAATCTATAGTATTTTGTGATATTATATGTTTAATAACATTATAGGTATTATAACTCTTATTTTGCATCGGAAAATATGAAATTCTTATTTGGATACTTTCTCCATGCTTATTCATTATTTAGTCCTTTTCATATAAAGAATTATGTCATTAGATGACAAAATACTTTTCTATATAGGAATTTGCTCTCAACATCATCCCATTAATTGTACATATAGTGACAATTCCATACTTCCATTTGAATATTTTACCTAATAAAAAAAAAGTTGTTGCATGTGATAGACTCTTGAACCATTCTTGAAGGGTCACTCTCCATGCTTTCTTATTCGACAACTTGCTTCTCCATGATTGAGTTAAGAAGATCATTTTATTGATCGATATACCTAATTTGGGATGTCAATTGTATATCTATTAGGATCACCATTAGATATTATAATGTACAGATTATAATATTGTGGGATCTAGCCTCCATCATAAACATTAGTGGGTGCCGCCGCGTGTACCTAATGTATAAAACATTTTGGAGTATCCACACCTGAGGTGCATATTAATTTTATAGACTTTCTCACATGATTTTTAAAAAACAAATATTTATTTTAGTAAAGAAATACTCATTCCGTTTCATAAAACTCTCTCTTTCATTTTTTTCTAATTCCCTAAAACACTTCCATTTTCTATTAAAAAAACCACTTTTATCCCTACTTTTTCATACCCTACCTATCACATCATACTTTTTCACTAATAACCAAACTATCACATCTTACTTTTATCTATTACATTATGAGCAAATTTGGAAAGTCAACCAAAATTACAATTTTCTTATTTTGGTCCAAAGTCAAAATAAGAATGATTTTAAGGAATGGAGGGAGTACATATTTTGTTTATATGTAGGTGATGGTGGATCTTAGGTCTACCTTAAAATTTGCCAACATTAAAAAACATTCATTTCAATAGTAAGCATGTGTTTCCAGACCAATCACAGATTCACATGATGCAGCGGGTACCTTGGTACACGATATAAAAATTCTTAGTATGATATAAAAATAAATGAAATAACTAAGTTTTTTAAAAATAAAAGATCGAGTAAAATTAAAAAAGTTGAAAAATAAACCAAATTTTTTTCCCTAGAAAGCCCTCAAAATTCTTTTTTCGATAAGGTCTTTATTTCAATTTCTTTGTACGTAGTATTAAAAATAAAAAAGAGATCTAATTTTCTTTTTCGATAAGGTCTTTATTTCAATTTTTGAAACTATTTCCTAGAAGAAATTTTAAAAAGACCTTTATAGAAAAAGAAACACATTGAGAAAAGAGAAAAAAAAGAAAACAAAGAAACTAAAAGTGAGAGACCTAAAAGTTATTACCATAAAACATTAAGGGCAAAATAGGAAAACATGTTTATTAGCAAATGGATGAAGTTTTAGATAAAATGTCCCTTCCTAGTCATTACAACAAAGTTTAAGAATCTCTCTTGTCTTTTTGAAAATATAGGGACCTGAGAGTTATTTCGACAAAATATGCCTCACCCGGGAGTAGTTTTTGCGATAAAAGTATGATATATTTTTATTTTTCATTAATAAATTAAAATTTTCATTCTAGAAAAAATTCTAACATTTTTTAATGTACATTACTGAAAAGTTTTTTACTTTGCTTGTTTAATTTAAATAAGTTAATATGTGACTTGAAAACTTCTCTCTTATCCAAAAAATGTATCACACTCTTCACTTTTAGAAAAAAACTGAGTAGATTTTTTAACACTATGTTTGGTTTAAGGAATTTGAGAGGGAAGGGAAAAGAAAATGAGAGAAAGAAAACATTTTTCTTGTTTGGTTAGAGAAAAAAAGAAAAGAAAAATGGAAGAAAAAGAAGATGATAAACCAACATGTACTAAAAAGAGGGAAAACTAAATTTCTCTCATTTTGGTGAAAAATCAGAGAAAAAACTATTTTCTGTTCTTTTCCTACCAAATTCTTTGAACCAAACATAGTGTAAGAGAAATTCAAAAAAAGAAAAGCATGAACTTTAGTGGCATTTTTAAAAAATTTGAAGACTTTAATGTGATTATTGAAAGAAAAAAATAGTGTGTCATTATTGGAAAAAATAATACTTGAGTGGTTCTTTTAAGCATTTTAAAGAGTTCAATGCATTTGTGAAAAAAATAAAAAATAGTGTATTTTGTGACAAAAAAATAAATACTCCCTAGTTTAATACTGTTTTCGTTCTTTTAAACCCTTCTCATTTTGATTTCAGGACAAAATAAGAAAAATATAATTTTGGTTGACTTTTCAATTTTGCCCCTGATGTGATGGGTAAAAGTAAGATGTGATCAGTTTGGTTATTAGTGAAAAGGTATAATGTGATATGTAAGGTGTGAAAAAGTAGGGAAAAAAGTGGTTTTTTAATAAAAAATGGAAGTGTTTTAAGGAATTGGAAAAAAACGAAAGGGGAAGAATTTTATGGAATGAAGGGTGTAGCATTTTTGTGAGAGCACTTGTTCAGGGTCAACGGTAGACAATGGTTGTGTTTGAGAAACATCTTTTTAGATAGTTTTTGGCATTTTTGACTAAATTTGACTTTTTTAACTAATCAAAGAGCCAAAATCATTATTTGCCTATTGACCTTTTTACTTGGTTGTTAGATCTATAAAGCTAGCGGGAGTAGCTTTTGAACTTGACAATTAAAAAAATCAATACTCCATCTGTCTCACAAGGAGAGTAGCTTTTGGACTTCCAGTTCATCATTAACTAGCTCAAATTAAACTTTATCTACGTTGTTAGTTTATTTTCGAGACTAATATGATAAAATAAGAAATATTTGCACTAAATAGTACTAAAACTTAATTTATTTCCCTAAATAGAACTTAAACTATTTTATTCACTAAATAACACTTAATAATATCCAGAAGGAGGAATAATATCTAGTGATGACGAACAATTACTTGAATAATGACTAATGGATAATGACTAAAAGTGTTACATTAAGAAAAAAAGGGAGAAATACCAAAGTAGAACTAGAACATTGAAAATATACCAAAATAAGACTTTCATGTTTTTATTCTCGAAATAAGACTTACATTACCAACCATGGTCATGTACATTACCAAAAAAGTATAGTAATCTGCACAGGTACGGTGTCATATTACCACATTGCAAATTCTTATTTTGGAAAAAAATATAAAAATCTCATTTTGGTAATTTTCTCTATGTTTTAGTCCTATTTAGGGTGATTTCTAAAGAAAAAACACATATGATGCTATTTAGAGAAAAATCATTATGTTTAAGTGCTATTTAAGTAAATTTCCCATAGAATAATATAATTATATCACCATTTTTAAATTTCTTACCAATTTTATAATAAATTGAATAGAAAATAGTTTTAGTCAAACATTATAAAACGCGATAAGAAATTAGTTTTAGAATGGAGAGAGTATTTCTTTACTATTCACATTTGTTTTGTTTTTTACGAAGGTTTAAGAGAAAAAAACTCTCCCCTTCTATTAGAATTCTTGAATGAGATCAAGAAAATATCGCGGAGTTTAATTTATACAATTATACTCCTTCCATCCCGCAAAAAATTTCTCGTTTTGATTTTTAAAAGATTTAAGGAGAATATATATTTTGGTATTAACTTTCCAAAAATACTATTTGATGTGATGAATAAAGTAGGATGTGATGGGTAGATTAATAGAAAAAAGTGTGATGTGAGAGCTAGGTTAAGAATTATTAGGGGTAAAACTGACTTTTTAATAGAGAAAGAGAAAGATTTTTTGGGATGAATGATAAAAGAAAGGAGAAGGGTTTTGTAGGACGAAGAGAGTATAAGAATGGCGTTTACATTGCATATTTGCCTATAACAATTATTTCCCCCTTTGTGAAAATTCTTTCTCCTTCATTTTTTTTCATTTTCAACAAAAAATACTTTCACGTGCTTTAGAATAAAATGACCAATATCCATATAACTTATTTAAGTAATTTGTTTGTCTTTTTCTCGACAACAAGTATATACTTCCTTTGTTTGAAAATGTTCTTCCCATTTGATTTCTCACGGTATCCAGAGTTGCATTTTGACCATTAATATTTATATTTATACATAGATATATTTAATAAATATTTGATACTTCAAAGGTGTGGGTGGGGGCGTTTATTATAGCATTGACAATGGCAAGTAAGAAATCAAATAACATACGGTGACAATCCAGCCAGCGTGTGGCACGGAAGTAGAGTGGCATTTTTTCCACATATTTTAATTATTTCAATTTATTTTATTTATATTTTATTTTTAAATAAAAATAGATATACTCCTTTTAAAAATATTTCTTATTTAACAAAAAAAATAGATTAAAAAAATTAAAAAAAAGAAAAGGGAGTTGCCTCATGCATGACACGGAGAAAGGGGTGCTTCGCCTCATCCAGGCGTGGTGTATCCAGGGGTGGGAGCAATTCACCCACGCCGCTGCACATGCTCTTAGAGATGATTTAAAAGGCGCATACTTACATTTTAAAAATTCAATAGTACTAAATTCAGAAGTGTAAGGAATTCAATAAAATGATAAAAAAAGAGTAAATTCTATAATTGGTCCTTTATTACAGGGGGGTTTCCCTATTTAGTCCTCTATTATCAAATATTACCCAGTGGTCCTTCTTTTATGGGTATCTTTCCACAAATAGTCCTTTTTTGATCTTCTATCATGTGGAAGTTAATTTGAGGGCTAAAAGTGTAATTTTACAATGATAATATATCTTTTTTATCATACACAATTCCAAAAGTTGTTCCGTTTGCGTCGTTTGTGAATTACATTCGCTTTCTACTACAACCATAGTCTACAAATGTAGTCTTTTGTCGAAATCCTAGCACACAATCATAGTCATTATTTTTGTGTTATCTGCTTAACCGATATCAGAACACGTCACTAGACATAATGTTGATGTCAAATTATACTTTTAGCCTTTAAATTAATACTCACATGGCGGAAGATCAAACAAAGGACCATTTGTAGAAAGGCAACCTTAAAAAAAGGACTACAAGGGTAATTTTTGATAATAAAGGACTAAATATGGAAACCCCCTTGTTATAAAGGACCAAATATGGAATTTACTCTAAAAAAAAGCAAGCGTAACGAATCCAAAAAGATGGAGGAGTTTAATTTTTATTTATAAATTCTATACTAATTTTCAAAAATGAGAGAACATTTAAATGGTAAACCAAAACAAAACTCTTGTTTTGGGCCTGAGAATGAGTTATTACACTCCTGCTCCCTCTTTTAAAATTGTCTTAAAATAAAGTTTATATTTCCTCTATTCACAAAAGAACCTTCCATTTAAACATGTAAAATTTTATAATTTTAAATTATTTTATTAACCAAATTTGTGTAGAAAAAAATACATATTTGAAAAAGTTCTAGAGTATAAAACAGGATGTAAAAAGAATATTTTATTTTACTAAATTATTAATAAAAACATACAAATAAAAAAAGTTATCAAAAATCCAGAATAGTACTCCCTCTCTTCCATATTTTTCTTTATATTGCGTAAAAC